GTTTAGGGTCCAGGGTTTAGGGCTTGGGGACTGTAGGGTTCTGGGGTTCAGGGTTTTGTTCCCTCCTACTTGGCAAGGACGAGCCCGCATTGCAGGGTTTCGACTCACACACTCGGACAAGCCTGGCATAGCATACAGGGTCTGCTGGGTTTAGGGCTTGGGGTTTAGGGCTTCTTGCTTGGGGGCTTGGACTCTCGCGACTCGGACGATGCAGGCGAGGCTTTTCCAGGCTTAGGCTTTGGGCTTAGTTTAGGACTTAAAGTTCCAGATCATTGACCATAGAAAGACGTTGTTCGTGCTACGAGGATTACAACCATGAAATTTGTTTATGATCATTGGGGGCTATAAAGCGCAATGGATTTGTTTATGATCATTGGGGGCTATAATGGCTAGGACTATTGCAAATACCATCCTGATTACGACTGTGATTATGATTATACTAGGGATTACGGCGTTATGATTCTGATAATGCTTATGGTCCTCACCGAAGGCCTCAACTTTACATGATTTCCAGGGACAAGAGAATTATGGGATTTGTGATAATGAATAGAGTGTGATTATGCCCATTATGATGACGACTATTTTGAGTATGGTTGTTATGATGAACCCTAAACCCTAAACCCTATACCCTAAACCCTAAACCGTGGCTATGATTCGATTATGTCGTGATCCAGACCTCGGCTCTTCCAGCTACGGACTCTCAAGTCGAGGGGCGTGGATCTGAGGTTCTTGAATTCTTCTTGGGAGGGGTATGGGATTTAAGGCGATATTCTAGGGAGGAAGGCTCGTTCTCAGGAGGGCTTTGGGCGCCAATTTGGGATTATAAAGCTGCTGCTTCTATCTATCACCAGTAATGGTTCCCCGCCTATATTGAAAGCAGACTTGCTTAACCTAAACCCCAAACCATAACACCTCAACCCCAAACCCCGAACCCCAATGTGTTAGCCTATATGTCTATACATGTATATGCACATGCATACATTCATACATGTGTATATATATATAGACTAATTCATGTATCTTTCTCTCTCTCTCTATATATATATATACACATACACATGTATACACACATACTCCTCTGTTGCATCGTACCATCAGGTATGAGTTCATGCTCTGTTGGTTCTATTCGCTCATAGTCATTACTTTATGTTACATTACATTGTGTTACACTCCATTATCTATCTATCTATCTATCTATCTATCTATATATATATATATATAGATATACAAACGCCCTGAAGCACTCTAGCCCACTGCACCCTTCAAACTTCACCTTCTGGTAACCCTGGAATCCTCAGCCCCTTATGGAACGCTTTTGTGATTGTTGAGCCCATTTCACCTTAAGGCCCTCAGCCCAAACAACCCCTTATTCACCTTTGTAAGATCCCTAATAGAACTATAGATCCTTTTCATTTAAAAGGATCCTTGCAGGTGACCCTGCAATCCAAAATCTCAACCCCCGTTGCGGCCCGAACGCTGAAAGCAGAAAGGTGGATCCCTATAGCTGCTCTATTACACGAACCCACACTGCACCCTGAACCCCAAACCCCTAAACCCTTAAGCCCGTAAGACCTTAAATCCCTACATCCCTAGCCCATTGCAAAAAGCTTAGCCTTACACCGTAAACCTCACCCGAAACCCCAAACCAGAAACCCCATAAAACCCTAAATTGCTCGCCTCATGCACTCTCTTCCTAAAAAATCGGACCCTAAAAAGTTCAAACTTTCCAAACTAGACTAGACCAAATATAGATGGCCAAAAAGTTGAAAGTTCTGCTTTCCGCTATCTGAGTGCAAGACAGAAGGGGCAGTCCAAAAAGCTTTGCCCTAAACCTCAAACCCCGAACCCTACACCCCTAAGACCCTTAGCTCTCAAAACCCTCTAAATTACTAGCCCCTTGCAAGAGAACGAGCAGTAAAGCCTGAACCCTAAAGCCCTAATACCCTTAACTTAGCTCTCAAAACCCTAAATTTCTAGAGAAGGAGCGGACCCTGAACCCTAAACCCCTCATACCCTTAGCAGCTCTCAAAGCCTAAATTGCTAGCCCCTTGCAACACAGGAGCAGTCATGACCAGCTTCAACTTCGCCCGCGACGACATCCACCAGCTGCATGCAGCGACGCACAACCTCAGGGCACAAACGCTTGAGGGTTTTGGGATTGAGGTTAGGAGTTGTGCGTGTATGTTTGGGGTTTGGGATGGAAGTTAGGGGTACAGGATTTTGGGGTAGAAGAACTTTATGGTTGGGGTTTACGGTCCAGGTTTAGGCTTTTGGGTACAAGGTCGGTTTAAGGCATCGGTTTGGGTTTTTTTGCTGGTGTTTTGGGACGAGGGTCTACCAGCTGCATACAGCGACGCAAAACCACACAGCCTACTCTTGGATCCCTACACATAATGTCAAGAGGGCCCCTCTAAGTGATCCAGGAAGGTTCTCACTCTACAGAGAGATTAGAGTCGTTTAGAAAGAATTGCACTTCGCAGATTTCGATCCTAATCCTAATACTAAAAACTCTATAGATCTGAAAGGACTTTTAATTTTCTCAAATAACTCCTCAAACTACAATTTCCCAAATGACTTTAATTATGTGCAAGATCATTCCGTAGTATAAAGATCAAAAGGGGGGACAGCACTACTATTTGTTCCGATCTTGACATCCTTACCCCTCGCTTCGTTTGTTTGAGGGTTTGAACAAAGTGGACGCGTCTACCTTGGTATTTAGAGGTCCCGATGTTGGGGGGCCCTTCGAGAGAGGGCGGGATATTCATCATGGACGTGACTGTGGCCATGAAGATCGACATATCCTAAACGCCCTAAACCTCAAACCCTGGGCAGGCAACGTGCTGCTCATCTCCGACAGCCGGCCTGTCTAAAGATCGTGCTTAGTATCGGCCAGAAGGACGGCAGCGACGACGACCACAGATACAACTTCAAGCACGGTGACGACAACGACTACAGACCATCACCTTAGGGGCCGTACCTTACCCCAAAAAAGGTTAACCTTTTGAATTTTAATAGGTTTATATAAGCCCCAAAAGGTTAAAGGTTACCTACTCAGCCCCTAAGTCACCAACATGCGACCAGGAATACGTCGACGACCACCGGAACAGAACCTTCGACTGAGTGCCAGACTGCTTGTGCAAAGTCCTCAGTAGCAGGTTGTTCAACGCCCTAACAAGGGATAACTTCGTCAGGGCTTTATAGAAGTTGCTACTCACTGCACCCCCTCCCCCAAACCAGATTCAAATTATTAAGGCTCCACTTGGCAACTGTAGCCAAGAAAACCTACGGATGGCTACCTCGTCCAGCGGAACTAAGATTTCGAACACATAATCAGTAACCACCAGAAGCAGGTTGCTTTTGCCCAGGTGGACCAGCAACAGTTTACCCACACGACCTGGTACCGCGCTTTTAGCTTCGTGGGCCAAGGACCTAGTGCGGATTCATGAGCGACGTCGTCCTTAAGGGTTGTCAGGGCTATAGGGCTTAAGGAAAGAATTGTAGTAGAGAGGGAATCTGATTTGCATCAAGGATAATTCTTTTGAATTCCAGCTTCTTGAAGCCATAACAAGTGCCAACTTTAGACGACAGGCGGAGGAACTTCGGGAAATAAGATTTTCGCCAAGATCCCAGGCAACAAACATCCCAGCAATTGGTCCGCAATCCCGAAACTCCTACAGTCCCTACAGCCCTGAATTCTACGGCCCGTGATGCCCTAGAAGCCCAGGAAAGGAAAGCTTCCTCAACACCAAACTCCCAAAGCCGTACCGTAATTTTGGAGGCCCAGGGGACTTAGTAAGTCGGTTATAAGTAGGATTATTGTTAGGGTAACTCCATTTAGGGTACTTATAACTCTAGATATAACCCACTTACTAAGTCCCCTGGGCCTCCAAGAACCCTAACCCTAACCACAACAAAGAAAAAGCGCGCAGCACCACACTCCGAACCCTCTTTCAGCACTCACACTCGGACGAACCTAGGCGAGGGTTCAGGTACGGGGCGAACAGCACATTGGCTTGCAGGCGCCTCTGGCCTGTATCATTAGCAGCGCCCATGTTGGGCGCATCGGCTGAGGACCACCACGTCACCTGCCTTTTTCGCGCCCCTATACATGCAGGCAAATGGCAGGCTCACTCCAATTACGGCAACCGTCTCTACTGACTCTGGCGCATACCGAAAGGTTTCCACTGCCTCTTCCATGCGACACTCCATTGCCCCCTCTAGTTCATGCACTCTCCCGCATGCATTTGGCGCCAAATTCTCTGCAACCCATCCAGCGTCCTCAGCCATCAGAGCTGGACTCTCCACAGCATTGCATCAGCTTGGCACCCGCTCACTCTGCATCTCAAGTTCTCTCAGCCAGGAACTTGTCCCCATGCATGCAAATTCCCACGCATCGTCGTACGCTCTGCAGAAGGCGCACACTTGCAGCCCCTCAACTGTCGTCATGCAGTCCAAATTCTTTCAGTCAGGGGGTCGTCCCCATGCAAATAAATTCACTTGCACACTGTATTCAGAAATCCACTCCAGTGCTACGCAGAGCCCATGCCCGCTTGTCAACTGTCCTGTGTCTTCATATGGGTGACTGCTTCACCTGGTGAGGCCCAATGCTTTACAGATGGCGCACACTGGTGGCCCAGGGGTCATCCCTGTCCCCAGCCTATGCTCGGGACCTACCCCATGCATCATGTAGCTCTTCCCTTCTTGCAGCGTGAATTCCCATGCCTCCATATCACGCCCATGCTCATCGCGTTCGATGCCGGACCCGGTTGCTTCCATATCCAGAACCATGTTGTCCGCGTCCTCCACGAGGATGAGGAGCACCGACAGGGGAAGCTCCATGGCGCCGAAACAAACTCAAAGGGAAAAGGCAGCTTGAGCACAAGATGGGTCTTTAGGGTTTCGGGTTTAAGGAACACAAAAAACAAAACTTTGTTAGGTCTAAATCTCCCTAGGCACTAAGATCCCAAAAACCGTTAGTCCGCACATAGAGGAATACTTACGCTGGGAATGTCGAGGCGATTTGTTTGTCATTCAAAGCCGCCCTAAATCCTAAACCCTAACCCCTACTTGGAGGCCCAGGGGACTTAGTAAGAGGGTTATAAGTAGAGTTACAAGTACCCTAAATGGAGTTACCCTAACTGTAACCCTACTTGTAACCGACTTACTAAGTCCCTTGGGCCTCCAAGTATAGCCTTTAATCCTAGACCCTGACCCCCAGACCCCTCACCCTAAACCCTAACCCCCCGAAGTTCCTATACTTAATGCCCCAAGCGAACTCCCACAGAGCCCTGAACATTCAGACGACTGAAAGCTCTGTCTCTCCTGTGGGTCCAACCTGCCTTTGTGGGGGAATACTGACCCAAGCCATGATAGCAATTCCTAGTCTAAGACGGTTTGGGGTGTAGGGTTTCTACTGCTGATGATATAAATCCTGCATTACCTTAAGGACCCTAAACTATGGGAATTGTGGTATATTCCTTACTATGGGTAATGCAGGATTTATATCATCAACCGTAGTCTGAGACGTTTGAGGGGGTGTAGGGCTTCTAGTATAGAAGCCCTGCTTTCTACTGTATAAATACCTGTAGGACCTTGGGGCCTGAGCAGTTCCTGAAGGATCTCTGAAGACACCTGTTTAGGTTTAGGGTGTATGAGGGCTTAATTAGGACGGTTTCACAGCAGAGGGGCCTGCTGAGCTTCCTCAACCCTACACCCTACCTGGAACCGAAAAGACCTACCTCTTCAAGGAACTATATATAGAAACCACAGTAAGGAACCCTAAAGAGGTAGGTCTTTCCGGCTGCAGGTAAACCCCTAACCTGCGAAGCTACGTTTCCCTATAAACCCAAAACCCCTAAACCCTAAACCCCTAAACCCTATAACCCTTAAACCCTAAACCCCTAAACCTGCGAAGCTACGTTTCCCGGCTAGTGCCCGCATTGCCAAGGTTCTACAAGTGGGTCGGCGGAGACCGGCAGGTCCGCAGGATCTGAGTTCAGGGTTTAGGATTTAGGGCTTAGGGTTTAGGGGTGTAAGGTTTAGGGTTTAGGGCTTATAGGGTTTAGGGGTGTAAGGTTTAGGGTTTAGGGCTTAACCTGAGTTTAGGTGTCTGAGTTTGTGCTGCGTGCACGGGTTGCAGTTTTGTTGCACTGCACGGGGTTTGGGAGTTGCGGGCTCGGCTTGCGGATTTAGGGCTGGAGCGGGTTGCGCTGCTGCTATCGGCGCTCACACTCGGACACCCCAGGCGAGGCTATTGTACCTTAAGGACGAAAGGACCCTTAAAAGTAGGGGCCCTATACCCTATGGAATATAAACCTTAAACCCTTTTAGGCTTCTTAAGGTAAGATTGAAGGTTTTCGGGTCCGCTGACATTCCCGAAACACCTGTGGAACGCCGACCCCGAACCCTTGAAGCTTCGCAGCTGCTTTGTTTGGCGAAAGGAAGTTGAAACATCAAGCTGTCACCTAGTTAGATATGAGTCCGAGTTGCATAGCTTGTCGGTATTTGCGGTCTGTGGATCCTATTCTAGGGCTCGTCACAATTCGAAAGGGATTTCGGGGTACGTTTTTCTGTAAGAATATGGGAGCTAGGACACTGGGAAAATCTTGCAAGGGGTTCGAAACTCTCTATATTCCGCGACCTGAATCACGAAAGCTCTCTCTCTCTCTCTGTCTTTCTCTCTCTGTGTCTCTCTCTCTCTCTCTCTCTCGCTCGCTCGGTCCAAGCCATCTGTAGGGCTTCGGGTTTAAGGTGATCGTCATAGTCGCGAGTGCACATTCCAGGGTTGTGGCGCCAGTGCTCCATTGCTTATTGCTCCCCCGAACCTGCTACCCTATAGCAGCTAAACACCCGAACTCCAGTACAAAAAAACTTCAAAGCATTCGAACTCCGATACAGAAAACTTCAAACACTGTCCAGAAAGGTGTATAGATAAGATAAGATAAGATACGAGACGATAAGATAAGATACGATAAGATAAGATAAGATAAGATAAGATAAGATAAGATAAGATAAGATAAGATAAGATAAGATAAGACAAGATAATATATATATATACAGATACATATACATATACATATACATATACATATACATATACATATACATATACATATACATATACATATATATATATACACATATCTATATGTACATATACACACACACACCCCTCGCATATCCTTTTCTCTACTTATTATATATATATGTATATACACATACACATACAGATATGTAGATATAGCTAGATAGTGGGGGAGACTTTGCAGACATCTGCTGCTTGACCAAGGAACGCTTCTCCGCAGGTTTCTCCGGCGGAGGGAGGTGGTACGGGGTGTCCACATTCCTAGGCTGCACAAGGCTTTACGGCTAAGGTTTAGGGTTTATGGTTTAAGGGCTCAGGGAATAGAATATGGAGACACGATTCTGGTGTATGTGTCCTGTTGCAAGAAGCAAAAGCGTTATTGACGGCATCCAAGACTCATCGTAGCATCACTGAAAACCTCGGTGAAGTTGTGGTCCGAAACACAACCTAAAAACTCAAAACCCAGACGCCGGCAAAAACCATGCGTGCGGGGCTATGCCTGACCACACATGACTCTGCAGATCTTCTTCGCTACTCAGCTGATCAGTATGGCACAAGTACCGCTGCAGAGAGTTCAGCTACACACAGAAACTACATGCAGCATTACGTCCATGACCTCCTGCACAAAGTCTTCTAGCTCTCTGGGAGCTGATTGGTGCAGATAGATCTGCTTCTAGACCTCCACACTAGCGAGCCAAGTAAACACCTTGTACCTACTTCGCCGGCCATTAGCGCAACCCGGAAGCGCGTGCCTAGTCGCATCCCAACTATAACTACCCACAGTCTCCATTGTAGTTCCTGTTAAAACGACCTAGTCGGACCCTAAATTTCAACCACAGAAAGGAACTACAATGGAGCCTCTTGGTACGTATAGCTGCTTTACCCTAAACCCTAAACCCACAGTCCCGAACTTGTGGCCCGCACCGCATAGCGGCAGTCCTCGCCAACACCAAGGCCCCTGCGTGACTGGACCCTTTTGGGATGATGATTATGACTACGCATGACTATGACGACGACGGCGACTACTAGTAGTAGTAGCACTACTACTACTACTACCACCACCACTACTACCATCATTTCTACTACGACTACGACTACGACGACGACGACGACTACTACTACTACTACTGCTCCTGCTCCTGCTCCTACTCCTACCCCTACTGCTACTCCTACTCCTACTCCTACTCCTACTCCTACTCCTACTCCTACTCCTACTCCTACTCCTACTCTACTCCTACTACTACTACTACTACTACTACTACTACTAGAACTACTACTACTACTACTACTA